AGCGCTGGTCTGGTGGCAAATCATAAATAAGAAGTTAAAAACGATCTTCCAAAATTTATTCATATAATTTGCCAAAAAAAAGGCCGCTTACTTAATTTTATTAAAGGAAAAAAAAATTCGGCCTTCTGACCAACACTAAAATTACAAATATTATTGTTTGCATTGCTATAACGGTTTCACTATCCAGATTTATCCGAAAGCTATCAGGTAGCTAACAATTCGTAAATACCTAAAATAAACTAAGCAGGTTTTTCTATATTAAAACAACAATGTGAACATTCAGCATAACATTCAGATAAATTCTTAGCCCTACTTAGGAAAATGGTAAATCTTTTTTCGAATTTTGGTTTTTTTTTAACACAAAAGAGAAAAATCTTTACTTTATTTCAAAATAAACCGCTATTTTAAAAAATGTATTGTACATTAGTACACTAGCTCAATAAAACTTACGTATACAGATTTTTTCGCAATACAGATTTTTTAAAATTCTTTTTTGTTTTCATATTCAACAATTTGTTATTAGGCCAAAAAACAGCAAAAACTATTTTTTTTTTGNTTTCCACGGATTCTATTCAATTCTGTACTGTCGGATACAACATGGATAACGAATTTGGAGGGGGAGTGGGATGGGAACAACTAAGTGCACCAAAGTCATTCTGCCTACCGGACCACTGTAGCGTTTTTCAAGCGGAGTTTGCGGCCATACAGGAGAAAGCAGTTCACTCTTCACCTGATATGGGTATCGGTACATAGCGGTGTACCAGGTAATGAGATAGCGGATGAGATTGTTAGGAGGGGGACTTCCGTTCCACCTTCGCCGTTATAGAAGAGGCTGGGCTCATATATGTACATGTATTCTTCTTCTCAGAAGCAGGCGAAAGATGAAAACATGCAACACGGCAAAGCTAATGTGGCCGGAATGGGATGAGAAAGGCTCGGGGGAGCTCTTTTGCTGCGCATAGGAAGCAGGAGAAAGATGTAACAGTTGGAAAGAGCTGGAAACATGCAGCATGGCAAGACCAATGTGGCCGAAATGGGATGAGAAAATATCCTTAAGTTGAGCATAGGGGAAATGTCTTTGGCCACGGGTTTGCTGCCGCTTAACGACTTCTGCAGGAGCTGATGAGACGAGGAGCCTGCATCAATAAGGCACGTACATTGCGAATTGCCCGCACTGGGAAGGAGCAGACAATAGGTAATGAGTGCTGGAACCATTGGAGAACGGAGTATTATACTGGCCATAAGGATAAGGTGATTAGTCAAATTTGCCAACTCTCCTCTCTGATTTGTATAGGAGAGGGACTGATTAACGATATCCCTTGTGGTATCAAAACGGGCCCTATAGTGGGCCTAAGTTTTCTAGTGTGTCTACCGGAGCCACTTCAACCTAACCTAAGATTTAAATTAAGCTGCTTTCGGAGCTATTTCAAGCCGAGGGAAACTTCCTAGAGGTACTTTTGCGAATTCATGGAGGATTGGAGAGACTCAGCTAGGCTAAGTAGGATCTTTGCCAAAGGGCACTTTTAGGAAATATTTAAAGAGGTAAAATAGTTTACGAACTGAGTTGGTTGGACAGTCGCTGGACTTCTAAGGTAGCAAGGTTGGCGAACTAGAGACAATATTTAAAAAAATTGTTGTATGCAATTTCGCAAATTTTTACATACGCACTTCTCTGGTGTCATAAAACAGGACTTATTGAATAATTCCGAATAATTCTTGTGGGGTTTTAGGACTGACTTACAACTATGCAGAGGTGGTTAAAGAGGCTACCATTATTGAATAAACATTTTTAGTTTGGTACACGCGTATAAACTGGCCTCCCATCTTACTGAGGCGGTTTATTTACTAGCGATGCTTCAGGAAGTTTCGAAGGTTATCATTTTGAGTTAGGTAGCAACATTTTAATCCCAAAGCAGTGAAACGCAGTCACGATAAATAGTTTTTCGTACTCAAGAGGTTCAAGAGACTCCTTAAATCTTTAAATAAAGGAGAAGTTAATGGAAACCGGGTATAACCGAACTTATGCAAATACATAGATTCCTGCGCCATCATTGGTTCTCTTTATATGAGCTCGGAAAAAACTGGCCTGCTCCTCTTTGCATATAAGAAAAAATTTGCCAATTGTACTAAACCTAGTAAAGTAGAATTAACCGAGCTTATCTCTCACATCGGGTGAAATATCTTCGAAGTTGAAGATTGGGTAGCATACAAGGCAGTGCTCGACGGTCCTATTTGCAAACCAAAGATTCCTAGGCAACAGACTGAGATGGAAACCAAGGATTGCACAGGATGTACACGGCTGTAGTATGACCCGAACCTTCATATGGAGCGCTGGTCTGATGGCAAATCAAAAATAAGGAGTTAAAAACGATCTTCCAAAACTGATTCATATAATTTGCCAAAAAATGCCGCTTACTTAATTTTATTAAAGGAAAAAAAAATTCGGCCTTCTGACCAACACTAAAATTACAAACATTATTGTAAGCTTATTTTAAAACATGCATTGTTATAACGGTTTCACTATCCAGATTTATCCGAAAGCTACCTGATAGCTAACAATTCGTAAATACCTAAAATAAACTAAGCAGGTTTTTCTATATTAAAACAACAATGTGAACATTCAGCAGAACATTCAGATAAATTCTTAGCCCTACTTAGGAAAATGGTAAAATTTTTTAGATTTTTTTTATCACAAAAAAGAAAAAAATTTACTTTATTTCAAAATTAACCGCTATTTTAAAAAATGTATTGTACATTAGTACATTAGCCCCATAATACTTAAGTATACGGAATTTTTCACAATACAGATTTTTTTTTTTAATTCTTTTTTGTTTTCATATTCAACAATTTGTTATAAGGCCAAAAAATACCAAAAACGATTTTTTTTTGTTTTCGCTAACTGCATAGTTCACTCCATGATTACACTTTTTAGAAAAAGTTAAGTATGTATGCAATTTTGTAGCGCATTTTCTTCCATCCAATGTCTACTCCACAACAAAATTTTCATATGACATTTTGTCTAGTACCCACAAAAAAAGCCAGTAAACAACGATAGTGTGCAGCCACTTTAGGCTTGTACTTTGTTTTATTAAAATTGAATGGGCTACAAAACTGCATACCAGAAATTTTATTAGAAAACGTTAATAACTTATACACAGCTGCTCACTTGTATGCTTTGAAAAGCTTTCATATTTTCAATATCATTTTGGGCCTTGGGTTTTTTTTTGTTAAATAAACTAGCACAAGTAATCTAAATCACAGCTAGATGCAATATCCAAGCCCCTTCAATTTTTTACTAGCCTCAAATTAAAATTTGATTACAGTTTTCTAGATAATCCTAATGCAATGTTATATGCATAAATTGTGAAAAGATCTAATTGTTGATTCTCGCCTTTTTTTATCGATTTACAGATCGAATCGGAACTAAAAAATCGAAAAAAAACGAATCGGAAGATGGAATACGGGGTAATACAATCACAAGCTATACTTTCGCCTGCCAGACCCCACATATGTGATCCAGGAGAAAGGTTAAGCCGCAATTGATGGAGGACTGTAGAAGAGAGTTGACTTCATTTTGCGATCAATGTAAAGTTACCTTACTATGAATAGTTTTCAGAGTAGGCTTGATAATAGATCTACAGATCACCGAAGTTACCTCTATTGGAAATTGGTATTATATAATCTTAAGTAGTCGAAGACTCTCAGAGTACAGCTATTGTAGACTTCCTAAGACCAAATATTTTATCATCTCGTATCGATTCCGCAGCTCATCGACAATTTAATGAGTGTATTACCTTAGGATCCAATTTTTCGCACAAATTTACCTCAACACAAAAATATACTTTCTTACACTACTAACTACTTTAGTAACAAGAGAGATGAAAAAACATAAAAATGAACTAAAATTTACCTTTTGTTAGCGCCAGCGACGNTCTAGATAAAATTTAAGTATGCGGTTTTGTAGCGCATTTTCTTCCATCCAATGTCTACTCCACAACAAAAATTTAATATGCCATTTGGTTTAGCACCGAGAAAAAAAGCCAAGAATCAACGATAGTTTGCAGCCACTTTAGGCTTGTAAATACTTTATTATATTAAAATTGAATGGGCTACAAAACTGCATAGCCGAAATTTTTTTAGAAAACATTAATAACTTATACACTGCTGCTCACTTGTGTGCTTGGAAAAGCTTTCATATTTTCAATTTTGTGCTTTGGCTATTTTTTGTTAAATAAACTGGTACAAATATTCTAAATCACAGCTAGATGCAATATCCAAGCCCCTTTCATTTTTTTACTAACCTCAAATTAAAATTTGATCAAAATTTTTTTAGATTTTCTAATGCAATGTTATATGCACCAATTGAGATAAAAACGAATGTCGATTCTCGACTTTTTTGGATTGATTCACGGATCGAATCGGAACTAAAAAATCGACAAAAAATCGATTAATCGATCTTTGATTTAATGGACTACAGACGCAGATCTTTGAGGGCATGGGGGACTTAGAAGACGGATCAAAGATGGAATGCGGAGTGAATGCAAGGATTTTTTGGTTACAAAATCCCAAGCTATACTTTCGCCTGCCAGACCACGCATATGTGATCCAAAAGGAAGGTAAAGGCGCAACTGTTGGAGGACAGTAGAAGAGAGTTGGCTTCATTTTGCGATCAATTTAAAAGTACATTACTATGCATAGTTTCCAGAGCAGACTTGCGATTAGATCTACAGATCACCGAAGTTACCTATACTGGAAATTGGTATTATATAATCTTAAGTAGTCGAAGACTCTCAGAGTACAGCTTTTGTAGACTTCTTAAGACCAAATATTTTATCATCTCGTATCGATTCCGCAGCTCATCGACTATTTAATTAGTGTATTACCTTAGCATCCAATTTTTCGCACAAATTTACCTCAACACAAAAATATACCTTCTTACACTACTAACTACTTTAGTAATAAGAAAGAAGAAAAAAACATAAAAATGAACTAAAATTTACCTTTTGTTAGCGCCAGCGACGACACATCTACCGGTTGTGCATGTAATTGCCGCGAATCGAGAAAACGTTGCTGATGCAAACATGCCAAGGATGATGACAACGACCCCAACGTCAACGACGACAATGATGACAACGACGACGACGACGAGGACGACGAAGATGGCGACGGCGATGGCGACAAGGACGATGAGGGCGCGGCAGCTAACGTCAACGCAGCTGTCCCACCAGACGCCATCGCTGTGCTTGTAGCAACAGATGTTGGCGTCGAACGAAATGTATTCGTCGTTGAGGCGGGTGTGGTGGCATTTGCGTTTGTATTTGTGGTGGTTGTGTTAGTGGAGCCGCCATTTTCGTCATGCGTTGGCATTTTCAGTGGCATATTAGGAACCTGTAATAACAGAAGAAAAATACAAGGAAAATTAAATGGAAGATATGCGCAGAGAAAATTAGTTATCAAGTATACACAAATATAAGCAGAGTACGAGTACCTAGCCCAAGGAGACGTGAAAACATATCCACATATACATATGTACATGTGTATATTTGTACATACATTATATAGCCAATAATGTAGAACTTTACATACTTACATACATAGTATGTATGTACATATATGTATATTTACTGTGAGCTGATGCATAAGGTACAAATATTGGAGACAAAAGGCAAATTAGCTTTTGTCGAAAGGTAGAAATTATGGTTACATTTATACATATAC